AGCCCCCTCTAGTCTATGTTGGTGTCTGTCTCACCTGTGACTAGTAAACAAGTAAGCACCTGTTTTTCTTTCTACCTCCTTTCAAACCCATCTCGTTTGCTGCCTTTGGCTAGTCAGGTTTTATGGTCCACCTTAGCAGTTGGTTAGAGGCTGTTATTAGTATAACCAACCTTAAATAATTTGATTTTCAGGTTGGGTACGTCACAATATCTCCTGTGGGCTTGATAGTCAAACTACACATTTATTTAAAAATTGGTTTCTTCACATTATACTTGAAAGCAGTGCTACTCACTCATCTGTAAACCATTAGGCCACACAGATAAAAGTATGTCATCTGACTTTTATTCATGTAGTTCTAAGGAGGAAGTTGAGGGCTGTACAGATTTTCCTCTTCCTTATTTAGTCCATCGTCTTATTTTATTAGTTTTCTTTTTAAAAACTATCCTTAGAGAGAACTGGGTATTTTAAGGGAAAGAAGCTGTGTACAAAGTTTAAAAGACGTACTCTGATTCTCTTCCTTCTTAATAAATTTTCAGTGACTTTGGTTTATTTATTTTGAATTTAGATAAACTGGGCTGACATAGCCCACGGGATATACTTATAGCCTGGCTTGTGCAGGGTTTCAATGAGTGGTTAACATTTAAAAGTGCAGAAATCTTGATCTGTCACATCCAATCTGAATTTCTTGAAAAAGCAAAAGATGGGGTGTTGGTGCTACAGGCTTGCAGGAAGATACTGGGGTGGGGGCTAAGGCGCTCTCTCTCCTGACTCCCCAAATACCTAGGGGCTCATATCACCCACCAAGATTCCTACCTTTGCCTTTACAACCAAGACCTGCCTTTGACCTTTCCTAATAAGCAATGGGTGTGGAGCTTCTGCGCACACAAAAGCCTGCCCTGGGCTAATTACAGGAATGCTTTTTTTTGTAAATCACCCAATCTCAGAAGCCACCCTGTGTCCTTTACTTGGTGAATGGATAAGTTAACTGGCACATCCAGTTTAAGAAGTGAACCATGGGCCTTCCCAGTGGTGCAGCGGTTGAGCGCTGGGTTGCGAAGCTGCCAGCAGTGTCTGCAGCGCCGGTTCGATCCCCGGCCGCCGGAAGAGGGTCCCACATGGCGCGCAGACCTCTCCTGCCGCCCGCTGCTCCCCTCAGCAGTGTACTTCCTTAGTCTGCCTATTCTGTTCCCTGCTCTGGCTCTGGTGAATTCTCTCACCCTCCTGCGCTTCTGACTGTACCCAGTGCTTGTATAAATAAATAAATAAATCTTAAAAAAAAAAAAAAAGGAAAACCATCAAGCCATGAAAAGACATGGAGAAAGTGTAAATGTATACTATTAAGTGAAAGAAACCAATCTGAAAAGTCTCCACCTTTTAGGATTCCAATGACAGGACATTCTGGAAAAGGCTGAACTATGGAGACAGTAAAAAAAAAAAACAAAAAATACATAAATCATTGGCTGGCAGGAGTTAGGGGTTAGGAGGCTGGATGAATAGGAAGAATAAAGAGAATTTGTAGGGTAGTGAAAATTGCATGCTCTGTAGTGATGGATACGCGTCACTCCATCTGTCCAAACCCATAGAATGTATGACACAAGGAGTGAACCTTCACTTGAACTATGGACTCTGGGTGATTAACATGCTGTTCTGTTGTAACAAATGTACAATAGGTGTGTGTTGTATTGTATGTTTGTTCCAGTAAATGTAACTGATGGGGGAATGTTGTAATGGGTAGACTGTGTGTGGGGCCAGGGGTTATATGGGCATTTCTAGACTTTCAATTTTGCTCTGTATACCTAGGACTGCTCTAAAAACATAAAGTCCTTAAAAAACAATGGAATTAGGGGGTGAATGCCAATGAGCACATGCATGATTTAGTCCTCTTGACTCAGAAGTTTTAATCTAAGGCATGAGACATAATGACAAATCAAGGGAGACAAGCCTTTGAGAGAGATCTTATAGGTTGGTGATAAAATACATTTCTTGAACATTGTACACACTATCATAGAAGAAAAATAGGGGACCACGCGGGTTATGCTAAGTATAACTTTTCAAATTAATGGTCACCCAGAAGTAGATTTTCCCCATGGTCTCACTTATTCCATCAAAAAGCTGCTTTAGAGGAACATGAGAGAAATGTCAGAGGGGAACAGTAATTTTTTCACTGTCTGAGCAATCAGAAATCACCCTAGGTTTTTTTTCATCCTCTTCTTGGTGGGGGGATGGGGGGGGAGGGGTTTCCTCAGCACCTCCTTTCCTGAGTTTGGTTAAAAGTGCTAAGTTTTTCCTGGTGTTAATTATTAATGTGACCTGTTGAGGCACCAGCTATCAGGCTAACCATTAATATCTGTTTACTCATTGATGAACTTTGCAGTTTCGTACCTCTCTCCTGGCTGCAAATGTCAACCTTTTTTTCCCCTGTCGTTAGTATGAATAGTGTTTTCTTTCTATCTGCTTGCTACCTGAGGCAGCGCCTTCACAAAGTACAATAACATCAGGTGACACAAATAAGGTCTTTGCGTCCAGGCAAAGCCAGAGAGGTGCTGTTGTTTCAGTTTAAGACACCGGAACTTCGCTTTTAGAATGGCAAATTCGGGGCTCCCACAATGGGGGCAATGGTTGTTGAAAAAAATTCTTTTGCTTCTCTGCTTACATGGAGGGGAAACTAAGGCTAGGACTGTGAAATGGTGTTGGGCAGTGAGACCCAGTTCTCCCTCTTCAAAATGTCAGTATTAAGCGCTTGCACATTCAAGCCAGCCTGCAGGATTTATCTCTAGTTACCCGCTCGGTCTACATTAACCCCAACACTGGCGACACATTGCCATTCGCACAAGTGTAACGGCAAAAGTGCAGATTAAACCTTGCGTCTGGATTGGGACAGCGACCAGTGACCTTCATTTTACCCATCATTGGAGCCTGGGTATGTTTGACTTATCTTAATTGCATTTGCCTAATTTAAACAGATACTAGCAGCCCAAGATATTTTTTTTTTTTTTACCCCCAAACAGTAAAAAGGAAGAAGAGCTTTATTCTTTTTCTTTCTTTCTTTTTTTTTATAAATATGTGTTGCTCTTTTTTTTTTTTTTTTAAAGATTTATTCATTTATTTATACAAGCACTGGGTACAGCCAGAAGCGCGGGAGGGTGAGAGAATTCACCAGAGCCAGAGCGGGGAGCAGAACAGGTAGACTGATGAAACACACTGCTGAGGGGAGCAGCGGGTGCGGCAGGAGAGGTCTGTTGCGCCATGTGGGACCCTTGCTGGTGGCTGGGGATCGAACCGGCGCTGCACCACCAGGGAGGCCCACTTTTTCTTTTTTTTTTTAGAAATTAAGAACAGGACGATCTTACTATGGCCATGGCTGGGGTAACAAAAGCAGCTGTTTTTTCTTCTTTTCCTCGCCCTATTAACAGACCAGCACAGGAAAAGACCCACTGAGTTATTATGATCTTTGCATAACAATACAATTGCAAGGTGTCCCAGCGCTTCTTTATTGAAACACTTTAAAATATTAATATCATGCCAACCATCAATAACCATTATGGCATTCACAGAGATTAAAGTTTTGAGATATGCCCTAGGTGTGCATTCACATTTTCTCGTTCATTGAGTTCTAACTTCAGTAAAATTAGTTTTTTTAGATACAGCCCAGAACACTTGCTGCGACTGTCACTTCGTGTTGAATGTATCATATAGAATTTAAAGCGGAAGACAGGGGAGCAATCTGTCACGAATGATTGTATTCGTAATCTTGGAGGGCTGGGATGGGGGCTGGGGGGAGATAAGCATTCTAGAAGGCGCTTCACCCCGACCGCTCATGCCACTCCAGTGGCAGCCACGGAGAGAGGATTTGGGTAATGTGTTTTCCTCAAGCCTGTCCGTGCTGGATGGAGCTGCTGCTGTACTTCATGCGCATAAATGCCTCTCAGGTTTTCTCAGCTAAATGATAACTCAGCTTGTCTTTTCCAGTGAGTCCAGTAATAAATAGATATATGGGCCAGACGTGGGGTGTTCTGACTTAGTTAGATACTCCAGTGTCCTAGAACAGACAAGTAGACTCAATCATCGTGCAGCCACGAGGCACAGCCTTTCCAAGGAAACACGGGGGCCAGGGTTTTATGCTAAGTTTCCAATGACATGAACTGAAAAGCAATTCAAAATCAAGGTGAGTGTTGCAACGGCATGTTAGTCTCGTCCATCTAAGGAGGGGGACGGATGGTCCAAAAGCACCTCCTTTTTCTTTGAAGACTGAACATCTGTTAGGGGAATTTGAAATTATAGGTAAGTAGAACAGTTGAGTTGGTTCTTGATCTCACTGAATGTGTATGTTTTGCTCTGGGAACTAAGACGCGGATTTTCCCAAGACTGCTATTCAGGCCTGTATTTTCTCCCTGTGATGTGCAAAGCAGGCATTTCTTTACAGCCTCTGGATTTGGGAAGTTGGGCCGCCTTAATAGCTTGCAGATCTATATCTGGGTATCCAAATCAGAGGCTTTGAACTTTGCCAATCAGAATCCCACATTTACATTTCCTCTTCGTGTCACATGAGCGCCAAGCTTAATTGACACATGGAAAGTTTCCTTTACACCTCTTAGTCAAGGCAACACTGGGAATTTGGGTTTATGGAATGTGCCGGCAGCTCTGCTCTGTCTTGGCTTCTCCACCGTTGGCTTGGTCTGTGGCCCAGCGTGATGCCAGTTATGCATCACTCAGAGGTCTCAAATTAACTGCTGGAGTGTGCTTGGGCCCAGGAGCCTTTCAGGAGGACAGGAAGGGGAGTGGGGAGGGGGGCTCTAGCTCACCTCCCGCTGTGAGCGGGGATACTGCTGTTTGTAAAGACTCAGGCCATTAACTTATTCAGGAAACCTGCCCTCATTCCCACCTTGCAGTCTCCTCAGGCCCCTTGCGCCCTGCGTCCCAGGGGATACCGGGGTTACCCCATTTTGAGCACTTACCACATTGCATTGGAAAATCTGCTTATGTGTTTCTTCTTCCACTAGGCCACGGACGGCTCGACGGTGGGGTCCTTCGACATCCGGCATGGCGTGTGACAGACGGGGACACTCGCAAGGGCCGGGGCAGCCGGACAGGCTGGAGGACTAAGCGGGGCTGGCCTCAGGAGTAGTGGGATGGTGGTGGTGGTGGTGGTGACGGCAGTGGCAGTGAGGACAACGGCTTTGTCTCCTGATCGTTGGAAGTTTCTCAGCGGCTCTGAGTGGTAAACCTGTGACTTCATCCCAAGTTCACAGAGGAGAAAACAGTCTTGCAGGCAGGGTGAGTTAGGGTGAGTTGGGAGGACTGGCAGGGAGGAGCTGGAGCTTCCGGCCGCCTCTGCTGGACTCAACCTGCTGAGCAGACGCACCTCCGCTCTCTCTGGCTATAGGCAACGTTTCCATCGCCCAGACACAGCTCAGCAGGAGTCCCAGCGGTGGGGATGATCAGACACGCCTCCTCCAAGGCCCAGAGAGCCTCCTGCCCTTGGGCACTTATGGCCCCCCCCCCCCCCCCCCCCCCCCCCCCCCGCCTCTTCAGCGTCAGCAGCTGTTGTCAACCTTGTGGCATTTTGCTCTCAGCAGTTTACAGTAAGTCTGTGGGGTTTCTTAGTGCCGCTCCCTGGACTGAACTCGGGGCCTCACCACATTCTGTCTGTGTGATCTTGAACAAGTTGCTTGACCTCTCTGTGCTGAGTTTCCTGCTCTGTGTACCAAGGCTAAGAGGGTTGTCTTGAGGAGCCTCTGTTCTAATTCTTGCAAAGCCCCTAGTACGGTGCTTCACACAGCCTGAGCAGGCGGCCATATTTGAGGTTATGACACCATTTGACTCTGTGCCTGTCTCCTCTGGTTGCCACTGCCCAGGGCTGCAGAAACTTCACGTCTTCTGCGGGTACAGGGGAGTTGGTGAGGTGTGTGCTGAGCCCAGGGGCTGGGGGGCTCATGTAGATGGACCTGAAAGTCATCCTGTTTGTGCTCTGCTTCTCCCCTGGGGGGGTGGCCTTAGATGGGGCCCCAAGGTCTTCTGGTGTCCTCTGGCCTTCACCCCCTTCTAGTCTATCAACATCTGCCTCCCTCCTTCCCTCTCTCTCTCCGCTCTCAAGCCCCACGTTTCTCTCCTCTGGCTCCTGGTGGGCATGATCTCCTCGCAGCCCGGGGCTCTGGGGAAACCAAAGCCAGGTGTCTTGGGTTTGGCCTCTTAACACAAACCCCCCCTGAGGCAGGGCCTGGCTTCCTTTGTAGAGGAGAGAGCCGGCAAACGCTGAGATAAAAACACAAATTAATATATCAGTGAATGATCCCACCATGCTGACATGCTCTCTAATCAGGAAGACAGCGAAAACATGGGAGGGTGCCAGGAAAGGGGCTGGAGGTGGGAGGGAGGCCCAGAGACGGAGCTGGGGGAGGCGCGGCTTCCCGGCTTCAAAGCCTGAACTTTTCCCCCGAGATTTCACTGGGTGTGCAGGAGCACCAACTACTGCCGCCAGTGGGAAGCGGGTGGAGGAGCACCGTGGGGGGGAATGGAGGGTAAAGGAACCCCAGAATGACAAGAGACAGGCGCAGGAGAGTCAGGCTAGAGGGATCATGGAGGGTGCGCGCTGAGACTGGGAGTAAGAAGGCCGGCCATTGGGGGACTCTGCAGAGCCTGCATGTGCCAGGTCCTGCCTGTGCTGAGACTGGACACCCCGTGATGCTCTATTATCATCACTACCCCTTCCCTAGCAGACCTGCTCACTCCCATTTCAAAGATAAGAGAACTGAGGAAGTAGAGAGGTAAAGGTGGAGTGCATTTGCCTAATGCCCTCCAGCCACGAAGGGTGGAGTCAGGTTTCCAGCTGCAGCATTCAAGGCTGGAGAGGCTACAGCATTCAAGGCTCAGCTTGGTCTGAGCAGACTCCCCAGAGACAAGCCCTGGTTCTGATCCACGGTACCAAAATTCATGTACCCTCAGCTTGGGAATGTGGTGGGTACATGAGGAGCATAAGTGAACACCTCGTAGAATGAGAAGAAATTAAGAAAGTAAGAGAAAGACGGTCTTCTTGTAGGAGCTCACTACGAAAAAAACTTTCAAGTGAAGGAACAAGGCTGTCACGTCCAAAACTGATGAAGCTCGCACGAACCTGGCCTCACTGGCCGCTCAACCCTGTACGACAGAACAAATAGAGCAGATTGTAGATGTGAAAACTGAGGCCCATGGCTGGGAAGTTGACTAGGAGACAGAGATCAAGGCCAAACATGCTCTCCTGGCTTGAAGTCCAATGATGACAGGATCATGGACTTCATCTGTCATGGGGACCCACAGCCCTGGGCCTGTCAGGGAAGAGGAGGAAATTAATACCCTGGACCCCAGGCAAGTAGTTGGCCTCACTCCAGCACACCTTGAAGGTCGGGTGTGGGTATGTACAGCTGGGAAGGGGAAGGGGATTTTCAGGCGGGTCTCAGTTTAAGCATGGGGTTCAATAGAGGAACAAGAGAGTTGGGGTTCAAGATGGAAGTAAGCATGGTGGAGGAGAAAGAGCGTAGCAAAAACAGGGCCGAGCTAAGATGAAGAGGAGCTGCAAGAGGGCCCTGAATGTGGTGTCCAGAAAGTTCTTGGTCTGCAGTTTGGAGAGAACATCAATGGGAAAGAAAGGAGGAGGTGAGAAGAGAAGAAAGTGGAGAAGGAAGCCACTGTTGTGGATGATTTCAGGTTATCCTCAGAAACTGGAAACACTGCCTGAGATCTGTGTAGACAGAGTGTGTGGGAAGGGGCAGGAGAGGAAACACCTGTGTAAAGAAGGGTTCGGGTGAAGTCAGGGCCACACCCAGACCAGAAGGTTCAGGCTAGTTGATGGACATCATTGTGATGAGGTAAGAATCATGAGTTTCAGCCAAAAAAAAAAAAAAAAAAAAGCAGGGAACAGCAAAAGGAAGATCACAAGAACCAGTCGTTCTTTTTAGAAGTTTCTGGAATCAGAAATGATGCTGCATTAACTATTAGTCCAATATTTCCTGAACATGCCCTGTAATAGCTCCTTATCTTTTCTACATTTGAAGACTATCTTTTGTGTATCGTAGGAACTGTGTTTTTATTTGTAGCACTAAGAAGCACTTTATTTCCTCCTAAATTCTGTCTTTCCAAATTATAGCACATTTTGAGTTTCAAATGGCGGCTAATAATTCTTAGCATTCTTGTTGCTTTCACAGGGCCTGCTGATGTGTGACCTCTCAGAAGGAATGAACTGGAAATCCCGGCTTCTGTTTGAATTTTCTGTAAGTATCACGGGATTTTGAGTGTTGGCTTTAGAGACTTCCAGAAGCAAATGTCTGAGCGTGGTTGCTCCGTGCTCTCACAGCTATTTTGACTGCCCTCAGGATTTTTCTTGCTTCCTTCCTTAGTTCCTAGCTTCCATTCAGAGAGCTGAATTTTCCAGCTAATTGACCTCCAAATAGTTGAAGCATGATTGTGTTATTGCTACTAATATTGGCATTGCATAAAAGCAACAGAATCAGCCTGCAGATTATATACTGCAGAGGCCCTTTAAAGAAACAGTTAATCCAGAGATTAGGCTGCATATTTTGAGGACTTTTTCAAATTTTTATCATGTACACATTCTCATCTGATGTTGGCAACAGCAGTGAACATACAGTTTGTCAAATGACAGTGACCTGTGGTATGAAAATACATGACAACTTACTAGTGAGGCTGAAAAGTCCAAAAATACAGTCAGGACCAAATACATTCCTCTTCTTTCCACAGTCCCACCACGCAAGGGTGTCAACTCACTTGTGAGATTTGCACTGTTTTCTGCAAGTGAGTTTAATCACAGCATCTCCTGGGGGTTGTTTCAGTACCTTTCATTTTATGCATCTTTTTATAGTAAACAACAGACCCAGAATCAAAACAGTGAAGAAATTAAAGCTATCTCCTTGCCATGAAGCAGATTCTATCATCAAATATACTCGTATCACCGTCACAGTGCTTATCCCCAAGATGTCTCTGTGGTGAGTGCAAGAAAGGGCACATTAAAGGACAATGAAAATTAACACTGAAATGGTTTTCAGGTGAAGAGACATGCTGGTGTCACTTTGTGCTACGTTTAGAGCAGCTGGTTTCGTACCAGACCTTACTTCTATTGCCCCATCCTATTTTATTATGAAAATTAAAACTTACCCTGAAAAAGCTGAAAGGATTCAATCTAGAAGCTACAATGAACATTTTCTCTCCTTGCTTTATCCAATATCTTGCACTCTGTCCATCCCTCAGTCCAACCATCCAATCATATTGCTTTTTTGATGCATTTCAAAATAAGTTGTAGGTATCGATGATTTCACCCCTGAACATTTCAGTGTGCACTAACTAGATCTCAGTAGTTGTCTACAGGATTTTGTTTTTTTTGAGACAGTTACAATGTCAAGTACAAGTTGTCATATCTTTAGATGTGCAACTCTAACTTAAGTGGTTTTCAAGATCTGGAATATAGCCATCATCCAGAGAGTTCCCTCATGCCCAGTCCATCCCTGGCCATTCTCCTATGGACAAGCATTGTTCTGATGTTTTTATTTCAGCATAGATAGTTTTGCCTATTTTAGAATTTCATTCACACAGTCGTATCATGATAATGCTTTGTGTAAAGTTTTACTCAGCATAATGGTTTACAGATTCATCCATGTAGTTAGGTGTCTCGGTAGTCTGTTCTTTTTCAGTGCTGAGTAGTATTCTATTGTATGAATATAACATGGGATGCTATTTTAAGAGGGATGGAATATGTGATGCCAAAGTAATTCTAGAGAAAAGTTCACAGGATAATGAGAGTTTGGAGGGGAAGGGGCACTCCAGATATTTGTCACAAAAAAAGATAGCACATTTAGGTAAGGACATGAGACTCACCTGCAAATATTAAAGTAGGGTCAGCAAAAGTTTTGGTAAGGAGCCATATAATAAATATTTTAGGATTTCAGGAGACTTAGTGCTGAATAAAGTTGCAAGTACTTTGTGCAGTAGAGTGAGAATGGCCATAGCCCATATGCAAATGAAGAAGGGTGGCTATAGCAAGTAAAACTTTATTTATGGACACTGAGATTCAAATTTCATATGATTTTCATGTATCACAAAATATCATTCTTTTTAAAAAAAATTTTAAAAAATATTTATTTATGCACACAAGAACTGGGGCATAGGCCAGAGACGCGGGGGGTGAGAGGATTCACCAGAGGCAGAGTGGGGAACAGAACAGGCAGAAGGACTGACATACACTGCTGAGGGGAGCAGCGGGCGAGTCAGGAGAGGTCTGCTGTGCCATGTGGGTAGCTCCCTGGCCGGGGGATCGAACTCGTGCTGCAGTGGCTGCGGACTGTTTCATAGGTTGCGTCCTAACCCCTTGCTCCACCAGGGAGGCCCCTTTAATTTTTTTCCCCTACCATCCGAGCGTTTGAAATCCACTCAGCTCATGGCTCACATAAAAATGGGCTGTAGTTTGCCAATCCCTGTAAGAAAGGATTTTGAAACTGAGGAAGGAAGAATGATTCTTATTCTGTTGAGGGCTAGCGAGTAATAAGAAGACCACAGGAGGCATTCTCGGTTCAGAAAACTGAAGATCTTTCTCTTGTCTAGGGTGGAAATGGATCCTCTTTCTTCACTCATTATCTTCCTCTGTCCCTTCTGGTGGTGTAGGGTTAAAGGGCTGGTCTGTTTCCTTCCATTTCCCCATCCCTTTTGTCTAGCTGTTTGACCTCCAGCAAGTTATTTAACCCCTTCCTGTTTCTAGATTCACATAAAAGATCAGAGGCCTTGTAATGATGCAGCATGTTAGCATCTAAAAGTCCCAAGGACGAGGCTGGCTTAGTCAGTAATCAGTGCATCTAGTCCAGAGTCTGCGCCTTCTAAGTACGAAGGAAGTGTTTGTCGTTGCTTTCACTCTAGTCATCATGTTTATTATCGTCGTTATAGTTATTATCACTCGGGGTGGATCGGCATCTGTGAGAATTTTGTTGAAGGGATTCCTCCTTTTCATGGTAGACTGAACTAATAGATGCTTCTTGTTCTAACAATCACTGTTCTCTTCAATTCAGTGCCTGGGGCCTCAACCCAGAGCCTCAACTGTTGTTGAAATGCGAGAAGAAACAGTGTAGTATTTTAGTTATTAATCTTCGCTGGTCTGCACAATAAGGTAAAAGAGTATTTGGTTTCTGCTTGATCTTTCCTGATGTCGGCTCTTAGCCTCACCTCTCTGGGTATCTTATTAATCACAGGGGCTGATGCATGAACTGCCTGGTCATGACACTACTTGAATTTTTTGCTCCTTACGAGAAAGTGAGGGAGGCACAGCTCTCTGCTTTGTCACAGGAAATGGGTCACATTAAAGGCTTTAAGCCAGGACATGGTATTTCTGCAGGCTGCATTCGCCTATTAGGTGGTACCGAATCACTAAGTCTCTGTGACCATGTGCACTAGGGGGCAGGCACCATGTTGGCAGGCGGTGCCCTGCGCCCATCGTGATTGCTGCTGACGGTCCAGAACAGAGGACTGAGAGTAGAGCTGACTGTGGCAGAGCTCCATTTGCCCCTGCTTGTCCCTCAGTTTGAATTCTTGTCCCATCTTGTCTTTGTTTACTGGTCTCTGACGTTGGTATTCCCAAGCCTGTTTATTTTTCCTGGTGTCTGATTTATTTTAGCTTCTTTATCTCCCTTTGCTGACCGGAATGATGGCACTCAGAGGGGTAGCACTAGGGCACATGGGGGAGCCATTAGCAACTTCTTCATTCTCTAGGTGGGGTAACGAAGTCAGGTGAGCTGGGCCCACATGCTCCCACAACATCCAGTCCAGTGCTCTTTTTTTTAAGATTTATTTATTTATGCAAGAACTGGGGTACAGGCCAAATGTGTGGGAGGGTGAGAGGATTCACAAGAGACAGAGTGGGGAATAGAACAGGCAGATGGACCGAAAACACTGCTAAGGGGAGCAGCAGGCGTGACAGGAGAGGTCTGCTGCGCCATGTGGGTATCTCCCCAACCTGCTGGGATCAAACCCGCACTGCAGAGGTTGCAGACAGCTTCACAGTGCTGCATTCGTGGGTATCTCCCCAACCTGCTGGGATCAAACCCGCACGGCAGAGGCTGCAGACAGCTTCACAGTGCTGCATTCAACCACCTGCACCACCAGGAAGGCCCTAGTCCAGTGTTCTGTTTGTTATAACACCTGAATCTTGGTCTATAAGCAGGGTCTGATGTGGGGTGGCTGGAGCTGGGGGCAGGAAGACCTGATGGACATGAGCTCCACATTCATCCTTGAAATACAGAGTTTTGCATTCTTTCCACATAAAGATATGCCGTCACTGGAATTAGTTTCTCTATTATATTGAACATTCTCAGATCACTTTCATGAATATTAAGTATTAAAACCTAATCCACTTTTTGAACGCTGTTTGGGGATGTCTCTATTATTTCATCTACTGGAATTTCAGAATGCAGCGATGGTCTCAGCCTTTCTGTAACCCTGAAAAACCTTGCTGATGATGGGGTGAAATCATAGTATTTAAGTGGAGAAGGGGAGGTAGAGAGCTGGTAAAGGCCCAGAGCTCTATCAAGGCAGACATTGATTAGACGATCAGTTAAAAAATAAAAGTCAATAGAGAAGAGATGGGAAAATAAAAGAAAGGAAGAAATGGCCAGCTAGTGGGTGAGAAGGGGATTGGGGGGCCATAGCCATGCCCAAGAAGTTCAGGGGGAGGGGGAGGGGCCTTTTTGACAATAATTAACTAAGGGGTATCCCAGGAGCTTCCCTACTTCATATCACTTAATACAAACTATCTGATCACCCCATGTGTTTTTTGAAGCATGGAAATATTTGAATGGATTCTTATTATTTTCTTTTTTCTTTATACTGCTGAGGGGAGCAGCGGGAAGGCAGGAGAGGTGTGCTGTGCCATATGGGTCACCTCCCTGGTGGGGATCAAACTGGTGCTGCAGTGGCTGTGGATAGCTTCATAGGTTGCATCCTAACCCCTTGCGCCAGCAGGGAGGCCCCGGATTCTTATTCTTTTCTACCTTGATCTGAAGGGGGAGAAAGTTCCAAGGTTGCACATAAACAATGTCTTGAGGCTTATCAACTTTAGGGGGAAGGATTATTACCTCCTAACTGGCATTCTGAACTTTGGAGGTTTAATAACAATCGCTTTATGTGCAAAGGGTTTTTACTTCTTACAGTAGAATATAAAATGACACATGACATGAACTAAATTGGTGAGTGACCCATATTTTCTTATAAGATACATCTATAAAATTGGGGAATCATCTTAACTTCTTATATAAAATACCTATCCTAATTAATGCCTTACTCATTCATTTGAAAGAGGCCTATGCTAATGACTGACTCATCCATTAAAGCAACATTGGTTCTGAGGTGAATAAGGAAGTCTGTTATGCAAACAAGTTGAAAGTATAAGATTTGTTTATCAAGGTCGAGATTCTGATTCTGAAATCACTCTGTCCATTAGAGGTGCTGTGCAGGGTCACTGAATTTCTATAAGAGACAGCCAATTAGAGACCCGCTTTTCCTTTCAAGTTCTCTCTGTTCCCTTCACCCTCTTCAAAGCACCCTTTAGTGGACATATATATCACCAGGTCAAAGTAAAAAAAATAAAAGAAAGCAAGACTTAGAACAACGAGAAGTTTCTTTTATTATCTGATAATATGAGCATTTTAGTTTTCAATACCCATCATGGGGCCTCCCTGGTGGTGCAGCGGTTGAGCGCTGGGCTACAAAGCTGCCCGCAGCCTCTGCAGCACTGGTTCGATCCCCGGCTGCCGGCGAGGGTCCCACATGGCGCACAGACCTCTCCTGCCACCCGCTGCTCCCCTCAGCAGTGTATTTCGTCAGTCTGCCTGTTCTGTTCCTCGCTTTGGCTCTGGTGAATTCCCTCACCCTCCCGCGCTTCTGACTGTACCCAGTGCTTATATAAATAAATTAATTAATTAAAAAAAATACCCGTCATGATCAAGAGGAA